CATACTAAACAATCATTCAGTAAATCATTAAATGGATATACTAATTGGAAAAAGTATTCTAAAGTTCAGTGTTCAGAAGCATAATATTTTAACTTTAAATAAGCAAATATTTCTGCCTCGTTAAAGTTCTATGTTTTAATCTTAAAGATCATATTGTTTATATTCGGTACATTCCTATGTTTTGACCTTTAAAAAACTAATATACATTGAATTTTACATGATAAAAAACCTCTTCCATAGCCTAGTTTGATGAAAAAGGTGTTATTCAATTTAAAACGGCTGCAAGTAAAAAAAAAAAGTATTTGTTCCATTGATAAAATGCCAAAACGAGTTCAAAATACTCAATATAACACTTCTAAGAAAAAAATTAAGAACAACAAAAGAATTATTCAGAATGCTATTTGCACTTGGATTTCCTTTCATCTCTCGAACACTATTAAAGAAAAATAGCACTTCTTGAAAAAGTTTGGTGTGTAACTACAGTAGGGACTAAAACATTCCTTTACATTCTTAGTCTTCGTTATATACATCGTATGTTGCCAAACATGTCTTCTATAATACTTTTTTATGTTTTTAACCCTTAGGGCCATATAATAACGTGGATTTTTATAATAAGCCAACAAACTATTACAAGAAACGTCCAAAAAATGCACCATCTCACATTAATTTTGCATCCATATATTTATGTTAGCAACAAAAATATCAAATTAGTGGGTGGAGATAACTTATTAGATGTCGTTGTTGAATGTTCTGAGAAATTCATCGAACTTTCTCCGGACCTAAGAGCAATGGAAGCGTTTTTGTTACAATAATAAAAACATCGAACTTTGTTGTTACTGGGTGGGGAATTTTCACGATTCATTACGGATTTATTTTAAGTGTCGCTGGTATTTTAGTAACCTATGGTGTACTTATGTATCAAACCAATCATTTAATTGAAAATGACAGAGCAATGGTAATAACATTATGTCACAAGATACATTCGTCTTCTCAAGGAAATCTGCATCAAGGAGACAGATATGGTATTCCGTTCTTTAGCCTTTTTCTTATATACACCATTCATTACTAGTTTCTTAAATGCAATCAGTGTTGTTATTTCAAAACATTCAACTTGCACAATTCTAACAGTAGATCTTTTTTCGGCTTTGTCAACAGTAATTGCTTTTGTTGGTTTTATAATGACATATCGTGAGGAAAAAAATTATATCGCCCTAAATAACTTTTGTTCTAATGATCGGATTTTCACGTACTAAGTATCAATCTAAATGGTTCCTAGAAAGAATCTCAAATAATTGTTTAGTACTAACTCTTAATTAAGTTACGAAATCGGACGCAAAAACGTACTTTTTCTGAAAAAACATATTTTTTTTACATATTTCGATTCTTAACCTTCAAAATGTTGGGGGTAGCCGCAATCTGAGAATTATGATCCACATAGTTTGGTCAGGAAAGTGATCCAAAGTTCGGACCCCTTAATGATAATTTCAAAAATGCGAAGTGAAATTTTGTTTCAAAGAATAAATATTTGCACCTATGGAATGTGTATTGAGATTATATGTGTTGCAAAAAATTTCAAAGAAAAAATTTACAATATTTAATTTGAGTTTTCTTTATTTTAATTGAGTGTTTTTACTTTAATGCGTTTTTCTAACTTTTAAAACATATTAAATTAAATGTGTATTAATCGTCTATCTACTAATGAAAAAAAAAGGGAAGGGAAATAAACTTTGCAATGAATATTTACAAAAAAAAATTGTAATCTCTCAATGATTATATGACAGTATCTTTCTTTTTCATTTCATACAAAATTCTTGCTAACTAAATACAATTTACATTTTACCAAAAATAATTGAATAAATAAAAAATTTAGAAATATTAAATTTATTCAAAGATTTGAGATATTTTAGTACTGGTATTAATTCATGGAGATTATTTCCTACTTTTAACGCTAAAACCCGCAATTTTGAACCGAACTTAAGAGTATAATGGAACTCCTTGGTAAAGTTTTGAGACAAATTTACTTTCATGGAGGATATCAGACTTAAAGTAACAAATAAAAAAACATGAATACTCCATAACATAATATTCAAATTGGTCCACGTATTATATTACTGGGTACTAGTGTCAGGGCTAAAGAGAATAGAAGGGCTGGTTCAATCCTTTGAAGTAGCTCTCGCCGAGCCAATCCTCCGATTTTCTCTAGTGACGTCACTTTGGAGCAAAGCTCGCACTTTTACTTCAAGAACGGAGCTTTCGGCCTTACTAGCTCTAACTAATATTGGAGCATTTCTTTTTGCGACATATTCTAAGACATTTTTTATTTTCTATAATGACTTTCCTCAGTTTTTGCAGCGAATTTACAAGAATTTAAAACTATTATCGAAATGCCAGTTTGCGCGATTGCAACTTGAAAAAATTTTGATAGAAAAACAAAAGGAAAAAATATAATTTTCCGCGTGTTCCCTAAAGTAAATGAACAACTATGTAAAGAATGGATTCCGAAATGACACAGTTAATATAAAACA